GTCTCCCGAAGAAGTGTCCGGCCATTCGCCCATTTTAATGAGTGATAATAACTCACAAAATAGTGTAGAATAATGTGGTATAAATTAATATTGCCATATCTATACCCCTTTGACTGACATCCAGAGTTAGCGCATACTTCACAACTGATTAAAGGGATTAGCAGTTGAGGCTACCAGTGCTCTCGACATACCAGTCCCCTCTCCATAGGAATCATATGAAGGCGTTTCCTATGCTTTCACTGCTTTCCACAGCATTTGACAACAAAACAAACCCATCGTCTCATCCGCTCATTGATTGTCTTAAAATAATTGCGGTTTTGGTTGTTATCATCACTTCTTCGACACTATCTGATCCACATTTTACCATATATTGAGTGTGACTTCAGTTGACATCTACTTCTTATTAGACATTCATTGTGTCAGTAGTTTTCGAAGTGGTTTTCCACATGCATTAAAGGTTTTTCTCACGCGAAGTATACTTCAGTAACCATTAATTGGATCAACTCTTGACACAGTCATTAACACCAGTGCCAACTGACACACACAGACAATGCCGGCGCCACGCGATGGACATATCGTGAAGATTGCGGTCGAAATGGACACAAGTTTCTCCGGAAACTATGTATGTATTGACAGATCACTGATTTGCCACCAAATCTATACCACTATATCTCGTATGGGATCAGATGCCGCAACTTCTGGAGTTCGACCAAAACCGTCCGCTTTCAGCCATCATCCAAGACCTGTGCGCCGTCTGGTCTCTCCAAGAAGCCGAGCACTACTCCCTGCAGTTCAACGACGCGACCAACGCCTACATCACCGAACGGAACCGAAATGAGATCAAAAACGGCGCCGTCCTGAGGATCACGTACTCGCCCTCGAGGACGGCTCAAGACATTCTCGACAAACTCCAGTTCGAGTCATCCGAGTCCCGGTTCGCCACATATAAACGTCTCGTCAAATTGTCCACTGATTACACCTTCGCTCTCGAGTTCATCAACAAATCCGGTCTTCAGTTTGTGATCGACTCCATCGAGAAGGACGAGATCGCGGCCAACGATGGCTTCGCGTTCGCGTTGGAGAGCTTCGTGGAGCTCATGAATCACGCGATCATATCGTGGTATGACTTTCCAGGGATTCACTTCTTGAGATAAAGTTTGTTTCCATTGATCA